CTCTCTCTCTCTCTCTCTCTCTCTCTCTCTCTCTCTCTCTCTCTCTCTCTCTCTCTCTCTCTCTCTCTCTCTCTCTCTCTCTCTCTCTCTGAGATGTACGTAATCTTCTTCAAAAAATCCTTTTGCGTTTGTTTTCTTTTTTTCGTCTTCAGACGTAAAGAAACAGCTCATTGTCTGAAAGTTTTAGCATGACGTGGCATACCATATACTATTATATACCATTTTTTTTATTTTTATTTTTATTTTTTTATACACCATCTTTGACTGGATAAAGCAGCCACTTGGGGTTTCCCTTTTGTCCATGATTATGTACTCGCACTCGTGATCGCCACCAAACTTGAATTTCTCAACACAGTCATATAACTTTGTCAAGGTCGGTGTGACTTCAGAGCTGGGCAACAAAATATACCTCTCACATGCTTTCTTTCTCGCGGACATTGCCCATGACAATGGCCAGCGTCCTAGCCCGTGATGGTGGTCAGGAGCGGCGATCTGACTGAAACATGTCAGGCCATTCGCCGACCACTTAGCGTTACTAGTGTTACCACTTTTGTCCTGCAGGGAATGACCTTGGTTGCTGCTGGAACTAAAGACTAACTAAAGGTTAACTTTAGTTAACCGCTAGGTTAACCTTTAGTTGCTGCTGGAACTGTTCACTGTTCAGGAAACGTCTGTTCTCCATCTCAGTTAAGCGCTGGATTAGAGTGAGAGTTTGAGTGTGTGTGTGTGTATGTGCTTGCTTACTCGTGCTCCTCCGTGCTCCAACGCAGTACATGTTTCCACATATTAGAGCGAGGAGTGCGAGGGAGGGAGCACACACAAACTCTTCTGTTCTGGAGTGTGGTATACGGAGTAAATGTGTATTTCAGACTATTTCTCTGCCGCGCACAGGTAGGTTAGGCTTGTGAGGCTCACCGATTAACATTTTAGGAATGTTTGCAGGTTAAACCACGAGTACTTTTGAAGAGCCTGCCGCATTAACGGCCAGCCATTGCTACAGTGCTGTGATGGCTCGTTTGAAATGAATATAGCCCACAGCGGCAGGAGCGTTCGTTCATCCCAGCGCTTCTCGGCACGTCAACGGCCACACTTTCAGGAAGTACTGGTGGTTTAAGGCGTACCCGATACACATCTGGCGATGATTGTTGGCTTTTTGTGCTTGCCTTGGTGCAGGCCAATGCCGAATTGGTGATTGGGGGAGTGAACGTGAAGTTATTCTTGGGTGGAAGTGCACATGAAGCAGATGGATGTGTTGGCACTACCTGCTCAACCACGCAGGCGTGGGGTACCCTTCTTTTGTTTTCTTTTTTCCAAAGGGCAACGACCTTGAGATATTGTCATCAAACTGACCGGCCCTAGTGAAACGGTTTTCACCTTTTAGCAGTAGCGGATGCAGTACCCAGGGTTCGATCCCGAGACCTCACCCTACCTATGTACAGTATCTGTATAGATCCCGAGAATTGAACCTGTGACCTGTGTATTAGTAGACAGTTGGTAGGTCTGTTGTAGGTCCATAGGCAGCAGGGGTTCGATCTGTAGGTCTATAGCGTAGAAGTCTTAGTGAGTTCCGGAAGCTTAGCTGTAGACCTTCTAGAAGGTAGGCAAGTGGGCAAGTGGTCAAGTGGCGAGGCAAGTGGTGGACTAAACTGCAGTGCAACAGCAGTACAACGTCGGGAGGATAGCGGTGAGTCCACAGTCAGTCAGCAGAAGGTCCAGTCAGTCCCAGTCCGGTCCAGCAAGTACCACRGGGGGACTGTGAGCACCAWGGRCCGATGGCAAAGGGCAGACCAACGAGTTTCTGAAGTATAAATCAAGAGGCAGCGCCCAGCCTTGGATTCATTCCTGCGTGAGCCATGCGGAAGCGCTGCCACAGCGACTAGTGCAAGGAGGTCTGCAGATGAGCCCGGAGGACGCAGTGGGCGAGAGAGGAGGAGTTAGTATAGCGATAGGTTAGAGGCAGCCATCGCTGCCATAGCTGTAGTAAGTAGGAAGTGTGTGTGTGTGTTCGAGTGTTCAGAGTGACGTGTATGGGATATCCAGGGTGATCCGGCGTGTGTAAACAGTGAGTTGTTGGGCGCTGAAGTCGCCATAGCCAGTCAAGAGTGAACTCGTATCTGGAAGCCATATCTCTGAATTTTGTGTGGCCGCATGTCGCCAGTTGCTGCGTTGCTGTTTACATGTATGAAAAGTGTGTTTGAGAACGAGTCTGATTGCACTAGGTAATTCAGAATTGTAATATTTTACTCATCTGCTTCCAGTGGAGTTCGGACTCAGGTCTGTACTTCAACAATTCAGTCCAGGGGGGGTGTGCCAACTGAGCTAGGCCAGTTGGTATGTGAGGTACCCTTCTATGTGCTGAGACCAGTGAGACGGATTAAGTGTTGATGCACAGGGTTTCCCAGATCTCAGATAACACACACGCCAACCCTGACTTCAACGTGGTGGTTGCCTGGAGAGTCCGTGAGAAGTATCAGCAGCGATTCAGTCTTCAACTCGTATACAAGGTCGCACACTCGATCCATCAAGTGATGGATTCTGGTTGAACAAAGTACTTTGTTGAATTCTGTTTTACTTCTGTTTACATGAATGATGACTCTGATGAGGGTTTGATTTGATGCTGAGAACAGGTAAAGTTGTAGAACCACACACTGAATTAAGCGGAGGAAGGTTCAGAGTCCCAGACAGAAACAGGTAAAGAAAAGGAAGTCGAGAAAATGTAACTCCAGCACGAATTGATGACGTTTTCCGGATTACAGGGTGTGCAGAGAAAGCTCCCGTTCCTATTTGTGCGAGGCTGCATGATTCGCTTCATACACATTCCAGATTCTGTGGATGTCAAGAAGGCAGTTCAGCAAAGGGTCAGTTGCAGACATCATCATCATCATCATCATCATCATCATCATCATCTTCTTCTTCTTCTTCTTCTTCTTCTTCTTCTTCTTCTTCTTCTTCTTCTTCTTCTTCTTCTTCTTCTTCTTCTTCGCCGTCTTCGCCGTCTTCTTCTTCATCTTCGTCTTCTTCTTCTTCTTCTTCTTCTTCTTCTTCTTCTTCTTCTTCTTCTTCTTCTTCGACGTCTTCGCCGTCTTCGCCGTCTTCTTCTTCATCTTCATCTTCTTCTTCTTCGACGTCTTCGCCGTCTTCGCCGTCTTCTTCTTCATCTTCATCTTCTTCTTCTTCTACGTCGTCGCCGTCGCCGTCGCCGTCGTCGCCTACTTCTTCTTCTTCTTCTTCTTCTTCTTCTTCTTCTTCTTCTTCTTCTTCTTCTTCTTCTTCTTCTTCTTCTTCTTCTTCTTCTTCTTCTTCGCCGTCGTCGTCGTCATTGTCTTTTTCTTCGTCATCGTCTTTTTCTTCGTCTTCGTCTACGTCGTCTTCTTCGTCTTCGTTGTCTTCGTCTTCGTCGGCGTTGGCCATGCTAATCTTCTCTGTATCGTTCCACTTTTAAAAGATGCCCCAAAGGATGAGTTGCAGCCATATCTGTTCGTCCATGTTCCAGTTTGTGCTGTATGTGGTCGCTTGGTGCAGATCATGTGAAAAGATCAAAAGTATTTGGAGGATTTGTAGCACAAGTGAAATGATAATGCGTAATTGCATGTAACATTATCAATATTGTGGAGGCATTCACCTTTTTCAGAAGGGTCTTGCCTTGTCTCGTCCAAGGAGCTTTGCAACCTAGGGCGAAGGAAGAAGAGGCACTCCAGAAAAACAAACAGCGAGAAGGAAGGACTGATGTGTCCACATATACGTAAGGGAGGCTTTCCACTTCACAAAGTGAAGTAGTAGGTTGTCGGTTGTCGTTCTGGTGTCCTATCGTCTGTAGTTGATTGATGAAATTTATCCTCTGCCATTGGTTAGTGAAGTGAGTATGGAAGAAATCACATGGGTGCGAACGGAGTTCCCTGATGAGAAAGAGGAGCTGACAAGTGATGGGATTTTATGAAGCTTTTGTGTGTTGCTATGATCCGGGTCAGTTCCCAATGCAAAACTCACAAAGAGACAATGCCAATCATTTGACAAATTGCAACTAAAATGAAAGAGGATTGGAAGATGAATGGGACCAAGGAAGAAGAAGAATGAAAAGGAGAAGAAGAAGGAGGAGGAGGAGGAGAAGTAGAAGAAGACAAGCTGGAACCAATGTTAGCTCTACCTCATCTTGCCACCATCATCTCCCGTTATAACATCTCCTGCTGATTAATAACAATGAACAACAACAATGAATGAAAGAGCCAGAACCAATGTCTGATCACTCCCCTTACTGCCAGCAACATAAAGGGCGTTCATTTGACCTCTACCACTTCCCATACACCTCCAGATGGCATCTGGCTATGGTGGCACATCCAAGTCTAGCTGGATGTTCAAAGGACAACGCAAAGGCTTCCATGCCCTCTCCCGCTTCAGCTGCCAAGCCTACACTAGTGGGTGAAGTCCACAACCTACCTGTAAACCCCTTCAGGGGTCTCTAGATGCAGCACCAACCTTGGAGATGAAGATGCAAGTCCACCACAGCCAAATGCGAGTCTCCTTCCTGGTTCCGAACTCCTTCCTCCTCCTACCTCTACTCCGCCTCCATAGTCTAGGTAGAGGTCTTTCTCCCTCACCTCCATAGCCTAGGACTAGTACCTCCTCCCTACTACACCTCCATAACCATGGAGGTCATTTTCATCACCCTCCAGCTCCACCTTCTCCTTCCGGGAGCTCTGCCAATTCTGCCTCTTGGCAGAGCAGCAGCATGATTGCCGGGTGAATGAGCGGAATGCGCATTGCACCGAATGATATACTTTCTGCCTCCGGCCTCCGATACCGCCAAGCCAGCTGCTTCCTGCCTCTACCCGCTGCTCTTGGGTGCACGAGGCCTACCGGGTGTTCCCTCCTTTTGGCGGCAACATCATTGCAGACGGAAATCTACCTACAGACCCCAAACCTAGACAACTACCCACCTACATTCAGGCCCTGGAACATCATCACTTACAGGTAAGCTACTGGACCTTTCGTGCCCCTCCAGAATCACTGGAAAATCCCTGCCGGGTCACTAGCCAATTCTACTTATGTCCCTCGGTACTAAACTATGCCTCAATGTGTCATACGGCGTACTTTCAGTCCTGCCCCTGTCTGTCTATCTATCCCTACGTTGTCCTCACCCAAGGCACAGCCACACGCACATGGCCAACAGAGTAAGCACACGTAACCCATACTTAGACTCACGCAAGCGCACGGCATATGCACGTTAGTGGCAGGTCACACAAACACAGTCTCCTGATTCTTTTGGACCGATGGGGGCTTGGTCGGTGCTTTCTTGTTCGTAGGGCCTTCTGTGTTGTAGTGCACTGTTAAGCATGTCGCCTTTTGTCCTCCATCGATGTACGCACGAATGTTTGGATCTGTGCCACGTATGTGGTTTTGTGGAGCAGGATGGAGTTGTATGTTTCGGCGGCAGACGGGTGAGTGGGCACTTTGGCGCTTCCCTTTTTTTTTCTTTCTTATAGCTATTTTTTTTTCTTATAGCTGAAAAAACTATGTAATATCTGTGCAAGTGTGCCCCTTGGGCAGCAGATGGGTGTGTGGGCACTTCCCGCTCAACCACACAAACGTGGGGAGCCTTGCATCTTCCATTATATTGCCCACCTATACTTTTTTTGTTTTATGGAGATGGTCTGTGATGGTTTGTGGATGGAATAAGAGAGAGAGAGAGAGAGAGATTGTTTTTTTTTTGACAACACACACAGAAAAACACAGCAAATCACTGCAGAACAGACTCAGACTCGGAGTTTTCGGAAAACAGATCGAAAGGACAGCTTGCTCTCGGAAATTGCCGGAATCTTGGGCAGCGATTTGCGCGGGTCATGGCAGTGTTTAACATCTCACCGGGGTGAAAATTGCGTGTTGGCAAAATGAAGGTAAGTGTCATAAGTAGGGCAAATTTCGGACCATGCACTTTTTTTGCATCAAGAGTTAAAAAAAGTTATAACTTACAAACAAAAAGGGCAAGTTTGGCACTATGGAGCTTTTTCACATCGACAAGTATGTCTGTATCTGGCAATGGGATATGGTTCTCCACGATAGCTGAAGTTTGTAGGGATGAGATTTGGTTGGTGGAGAGCTTCTCTGCTAGCTAGTAGACCTCGGTATTAAAAGCAGAAAACTCACCAACTGGCCTAGCTCAGTTTGGTACACTGCTACAAACTGTTGAAATGCAGACCTGGGTGTGAATTCCAATGGAATCGGACGAGTCAAAAGAACTCTGAATTTACCTGTGGCCGGTCAGTTCAAACTTCAAAGACGATATCACAAGACTGTCGCCTCCCCCCCCCCTTCCCCTCCTCCCCCTAGCAGGAAACTCCAAACTGTCCAAATCATAGCTGCAGCGCACTGCGATGCGGTGCGCTGCATCACGCACGTGCGGCACAAAGCGTGCAGCGTAGATGGCACTCGCACAGCATGCGCCACGCCCAAAAATAAGGTTTCCCTGGAGAAGAAAAACAGGGGGGGGAGGGTGTTCTACCCCTCGCCCTCCTTGACAACGAAAAATTGAAACAGCCGCGTGCAACGTTGTTTTCGGGTCTCGCCAAGGCCCAGAAAAAAAATTGCTCCAACGGGCTTATGGAGTCATGGACACTTTTGTTCGTTTTGTGTAAGCAGGCTGGCAGTCCAATACTGACATAACGACGGTGCTTTGTTCCTTTCGGAAAGCGGGCTGCATCAAAACGAAGTGCCCTCATCATGACAGTATCTGACCTGAAATGCAGCTTGCATACGCTCCATACCAGGAAGTTGTGAACTTCGACTTCCGGGTGTCGAGTGTATGAAAGCTGCAGTTCGGGTCGGATACCGTCATGATGAGGGTGGTTTGTGTTTCTTTTTTATTATCATTTCTTGCGCTGAGGCCTTGCCGTCCTGTCAGATGACATTGTCCGCTGGCGACGACTGCCGCCACGTTTTGTCGGCAAGAACGGGGCTTCTTGGGGTTGTTGGAACGAAGGTGGGGCGACGGGATGGGACACCCGGACACCTATGATGTTACTATTTCCTATTGGACATCTCGCATTGCGGGTCTTTGCGGTTGTCGTCTACGAGTGACCTCGTGCATGTTCCTTTGTGAATGTGCCGGTGCTTTCTAGCTGGTGGAGTCCTCTGTCTTAGGTAAGTAGCTTCTTGCCCTCCACCCTTGTATGGATCAAATAAATATATGTATATATCATCAAACAGAGCTGCCCGGTAAACCGTAGGCAGAGAAGGCGAAGAGGACAACAAACGAGGGCCTGTGACAAAGTATGTGCAAGCGTGCCACTTCGGCGGCATATGGGTGTGCGGGCACTTGCCGCTGAACCACACAAACGCGGCCAACCTTGCATTTTCTATTATATTCTATTATATTCTATTATATTCTATTATATTGTCTATGTATACTTTATCGTTTTGGATGTTTTTTTATGATTTGGGGAGGAAATGAGAGAGAGAATTTGGGGTGCTTTAACAACACACACACACACACACACACACACACACACACACCAAAAAAAAAAAAAAAAAAAAAAAAAAAGTCTGTGCGCATCATCTCACATGGGCCGCACCTAGAGCAACCCAAAAGTGTGCGCGGTGCACGCGCATCACCAACTCGCGCACTGCGCCCTCCACACCGCACAGGTGCGCCCCAGGTATGATCCAAATATTTAGAGCTACAGTCTTCCCCCGAATACAACGCACGGTCATTATAGCTGAATTTAGACTGAAAGATACACCAAATTCAGCTATAATGACCATACGTTGTATTCGGGGGAAGACTGTAGAGGGATCAGAGCAAGTGTGCATTGTCAAAATCCAATTCCAGCAATATGTTCAACATACCTCCAAATGAAAGTTCAATGAAATTTGATCAGAGCGTTCTCCGTGAAACGACATCTGAAAGTGTTCTTTGTTGAGGGATGCCTTTTTTCAAGTTCACTAATATTCTGCGCACAGTGCATGGTATTGACTCTGTTCAGGTTCGTTATATGAAGCCCAAAGATATCCGTATTCTCCCCATGCAGGCCACTGACTGTATTCATCACCAGAGTCTGTTGTTTAGGATTTACGATTTCCGATTTGCAATGCTGATGTGTTGTTTGTGCAGCGCGACAAAAGGAATCGTGCGGAAATCATGTATCTTGGTCGTGGAGGTCCTCAGAGCCGCATGCCCAAGACTGACAAAGTGAATGAAGGGATGATTAAAGGGGAATTGAGGGAGGTGTGCTCCGAAGAAAGAGAGGAGGGCGAGGTTGTGGGCATGAGTCAGTAGCGGTGCTGCAAGGAAGGGAGCAACGGGGGTCCTGAGCAGGAGTGCGGCAATAAGGTCCCACTCGGGAAGAGAGAGGGAGGGAGGGAGGGGGGGTAAAGAGTGTGAAAAGGTGGAACCTGGGACTCTTGAGGCTGGAGCAAGGAAAGGGAACGTGGCATGGCCCCCAGCAAGTGCAGCTTCGACCCATCTTGCCTTTGCCCACGCTTGTACGTCGCTCATGCTTCGTCTCAAAGAGAGAGAGTCTATCCAGTGTCCACCCAAATGCATTGCAGAAGTGCCAAGCAACGATCTGGCTTTCTTTTTTTTCCGGTCATGACTGCAGTGCAGGTAATGTTTCGATGCACACTGCGTTTGGCAAAGCGCCTCTGCGGAGCTGTACCATGGGTACCGTTATTTTGGTCATCTTGCGCACTGCGCATCCAAACCTACTGAAGGAAGGACACAGCAAGGTGGAGGAATCGGACGCGGTTTACTGAAGAGGCTGCTGTGACTCGATCATTCATGCATTGCAGGCCTTCGATCTCCTGGAAAGCCATGCTGTTGGGGCGGAGCATCTTCCATGTCTCCTACTTCCTCCTGGTCTTCAGAACTGAAGCAGAATTCACTGGTGATGGGTGCAGCATCCCTCCAATAGCAGAGGGCGAGCGATGGTGGTTCCTACGACTTCCTAGCCTGCATCGATCTACAAGCTCTTGTCTAGACATGTTCTTTCACTGAGAGTGGTTGTCAGTTTCTAGACATGTATCTCTCTCTGGGAGTGCAGTTCACTTTATTTGCAGGCTTCTGCAGATCTCTCTGGGAGTTACTTCGTTGGCAAACTCGTGCAGCTGAGCAACGCTGCTGTTCCGTTCTCAGTTCGATTCCTCTTGCTCTTTTTCTTCACTCCTTTGTCTTTCTCAACTTGCATTTTTTGTACGTCTGTTTCTTCTTCGTGGTTCTTGATGTCATGCCCCCGTGCTGTGCCTCATTTGTTCAAATTATCATCTCCTTTTCTCCCTCGTTGTCCTTCCCCTCCTCCTCCTAATTGTTGTCATCGCTGCCCTCCATATCTTTCCTGGGTGTGCTCCAGATGGTGCATGCTATTTTTAAGTCGGGAAAAAAAGGTGGCCCACGCAATGAGAGAGCTTACTTTCTTCTTTTTTCGTTGTTCTCCTCATGATCATCGTTATCTTCCTCCTCCTCGATCTTCTTTCTCACATGCTATTTTCAAATCCAGAGAGAGAGAGAGAGAGAGAGAGAGAGAGAGAGAGAGAGAGAGAGATCGCTTATACACATCTAGATGTGTATAAGAGACAGGAGAGAGAGAGAGAGAGAGAGAGAGAGAGCAATCTTTGGTTTTTGCTTCTTGTTCTCCTCCTCAACACGGTCATTGCTGTCGTCAATGGGGAGGAAAGGGGGGGTTGGGGGGGAAGGGGGAAGGGACGGGGATTCTGGCGGGGCTTCAGGGTCCGTTAATTGGGCCGTTAACAGCTTTTGAGCTGCAAATGCCACAGGCACCCATCAGTGCTGGTGTGGGCATACAGGGGTGGCACCCTTGTAGGTGTATGTGTACCAGTACGGTTCCGTAGGTATATGTGTACACATATGGGCACTGTAACCGTACTAACTGCCCAGTGGACCCTAGGCAGAAAGGGAGAGAAGGAAAAGAAACAGGGGGCTGTGACAGGCTGTGTCATTGGTGTTTGACTAACTTATCAGGAGCATGAACCCTCAACAGTCTCCAGATTCCCCCTAAACTGATGAGTCTATAAGTGATAATCGACCTAAACCGAAGTCGCAGGTGGGTACCAACAACTGCCAAACAACTGATACCCCAAGCTGGGCACCAACCACTCCAATCTAGAGTACCTGTGATGACAATCGAAGCAGACTCTTACCTGCCCACACCAGGAAGAAGACTCCACACAATCTAGGTTCACACCACCCTCAAAAGCCAGCAATGCCCCTACAAAGCAAAGGAAGGTCTGCGACAACCAGAAAACTCGCTCTGGCACAACCTGGCACCACAGGCACAGTGTGGCCGCCTAATGATAAGGCTGACCATGGCCACTCCAGATGTGACCAATGGATTTAGCAAAGTCATGTATCTATGCTAGCGCACAGCACTGTCCAGTGAACAATGGACAGACAGGGAGGAAATGACAAGAAATGGAAGGCTCTGATAGCCTGTTTCATACAGCACTGCCCTCGCTTTGTAGGGGCGTTGCTGGGTGTCGCAGACTCTCACCTGCCCACACCAGGAAGAAGACTCCACACAATCTACGTTCACACCACCCTCACAAGCCAGCAACGCCCCTACAAAGCAAAGGAAGGTCTGCGACAACCAGAAAACTCGCTATCAAGACGGTACCTGTGACACAAACTGACACAAAACAGAAGACGGTACAGACTTTTTCTTTTTCTTCAACGGGGAGACGGGGGGCGCACCAATGGCGAATTGGGACCACACAAGATTCAAAACAAAGACAAATTTGACCAACATCATGGCATCAACTCGTGTGGCATCGACTCGTGTTTAATGACTTGTGTGCAACAAGTTAACAACCATGAACGGTACCAACGTTCTTGAATGATTGTATTTTGATGTTGAAGTCCAAAGATGTTTGAGATCAAGAAAGAAGAAGTCTTTGATATGAATGCTTGCACAAGCTTGTGCTTTTCAGGAGCATTGTGCACTGGGCAAAGTTTTATTTTTCCTTTCCTCGAAACCAAAGGAAATATCATAGTTTTGCATGTAAGTCTGCAGAGCATTGGGATCAAAAAGGAAAAAGAAAAGGCTTGGCTTGAGGTCTATGCTTGCATGAACCTGTATGTTTTTTGGGCCATCATGGACTGGGATATTTCCTTTTTCTTTGTGGACGGGCATCATCAAGACTCAAACTGACCATGGTTAATTTATCGATGCCGATCTGGACATAGCTTGGCCTTTGCAACCTGTTCCCCCAAGTTCAGCAGCCCAAGGAGATGCGACTCCTCTACCCTTCTGTGAGAGTGCCTATGCTCTTAAGGTGTGAACCACTTGGCTAGGGAAGTTGGCGCACCTTCGAGTGACCAGGCTAAGTAGCGGTGGTGGGTCGCGTGCTGTTCAAGCAGAGTGTGCATGGATTGTCGTGTCCGTGGTGTGGTGTTGTGTGTGTGGTGTGAGTTCAAGGACGCTACATCCCTGGGGGTGGGCAGGATATCAAGACCGGTATGTATCCAGTCTTTATAACACCTCCAAGGGTTGTAGTGGTTACGAGACTCTGTTTTTGTGGCTGAGGGTGCCGGTTCGAGGCCGTGAGTGCACGGCTGGACCTGACGCCCTAAATGCACGTTGATCGGTAACTACAATGTGGGGCAGCCACAGTTTCTTCTTGTCCTTTTCAGAAACATTTTACAAGCCACCACTCAGCGTGATATGAGCGCCCCCCAAATTCTGCACTTGCCAGTTGATGGCTCCGATCTATTGGTGGGGAGCAGCACCTGCTAGAAAACGGATCAGCGTCCTGCTATGCAGAACGGGACTCGACGACCCCAAACATTATACTCCAGGCCAGCAGCATTGATCGCCCATCCACAAGGAGGGGATTCACTATGACACTACTGAGAAACCAATCAGAGGGAACATGTTTCTTTAAACGACAAGCACACGGCCCCAGCCTTGCAGTCCCAAACTTGTCGCCGCAAGAAAACGAGGCCGAAACGTCAAACGATGGGCCCACTGTTGATAAATTCGATCGGTGGCCCCGTTTCGTTTCGCGCCGTCAGAATTTAAAGTGTCAGACCCGCGGCCCGGGTGCCAATGTACTGGTCTTTTAACCGAACAGTGGGGTTGTGAGAGGCCAACCTCGTCCCTGACGCTGCTTTTCAGTCGGAGCGAGTTGTTAGGCCCGGGAAAAAGTGCAAGAAGAGGGGTATGACCACAATCTTCGGAAAGATGGGGTTGAAACTGGAATCTGAATGCAACAGCTCCGGAACAAGTTTTGTCGAGAGGAAAAGAGGGGAGAGATGGCAACAAAATTCACCAGGCTTAGGGGGCATCAATTATTTGTTTGCAAATAGAATCACGCCACTGTCAAAAGAAAGAAAAAATATCTAATGACAGAAGTTTTGAGATGTTGAGAAAAGAAGATAGCTATTGTACACCCCTGCAATAGCAAAAAGAAATCCAAGGGGTTCCGAAGATAGCGCACTGCAAACGAAAGCACGCCACACGGTAAACCTCTTCACCTTATGCATAGGTATCACTTTGAGATGTTTACGGCGGTGACCTGTATGCGCAAAAAGGATCTGAATCCAGTTCAATCCACCCAACATGAAAGATAGATGAACAACACATGCATCAGAGCATCCTCCCAAAGACCGTAACCCTCATCAAGCCCAAACTATGCCAAGTCTGCCATCGTCGGGGTGTGAAGAGGGAGGAGGTCAGGAAAGTATTCACAAAGAGGGAGCACGTGAAGTCCAATGTTTTTTGCTGCCCCCCTCCTTGGGCAATTAAGTACTTCCGAAAGTGTGCTCACAAATCTGTAGGGATGTACGGGTCTGGCGTGCAAGGACAATCTGATTTATAATTATTCATTTATGATGAGCCAAATGTTAGAGGTCAGCGTGGATAGGAAAAGTATTGTAGGCACAAGTTTCCCTTGCCCGTTTCCAAGCCAGCTCACAAGTCGGCGTTGCCTGTTTAGTAGTTTTTCGTTGGTCGTCGAAGTCTTGCAAGTCTTGTTTTTTTTCAGAAGTTGATTCCCACTGTTTACGGATTTCTATCACAATGAGTTCTTTCACATGGGTCTGCGATGTACTTGGGGTGTTTCTCTATAAAAAAAAAAAAAAAAAAAAAAAAAAAAGAGATCTAAGCTCCCACTCGCGGACCTGCTCCAGGATCGAAATGCTTGGTTGGGTCCATGATGCCCACAATACTACCATCCGCTGCACCTGGAATAAGTTGCCTAAAAGGGCTCGATGAGAGGGGTGGGGCAGTCATCAAGGAGGATGACTGACCATTCTCAAGACCAGAGAGAAGGTTAACGGAGACCCTAATTTTCAGACCACTTGCCATGCCATTTATATGAAAACCAAAGGGTCATTTTAATCAAACTTGCCACCAATTCGTAGAGTGGCCCCGTCGTGATCTTACGAAGTTACGACATAGAGCATTCTACTACCTCTAGTTGGAGATCACCTAAGAGCAAGAGAGGAGGAAAATGTGTTCAATCATTTCCCTATAGCATATATGAGGGAAGGTCTCTACTGTAGACAGTGCTTGCAACAAAGAATGACGAAGTCTCTCTGTTCTAGCATTGATATGTATATATGATCTTAATCTGTGGTAAAAAGAAGCATGTAAAAGATTTGCCATCAAAGGCTATGACATTGCCTGGGCAAATCCTGACAGCGGACCCCAACCAAACGTACGCAATCTATGTTGACATGAGTCATCCATTGTTCCTAACACAAATTTTCTTATGCGAGAGCATAATGCTTTTTCTGACTATACGTTCCAAGCAAGGTACGATGACCTTTCGACGTATTCCTTTGGGTCAAATGAGAGATCAAATAGGGGTGTGTTAAGCTTAAAGGCCCATGGATTTGTTGTTGAGGAGCCCACCATCCTAATGGTGATGGTTTCTCCAGAGGAGACAGTTGTAAGGATCTACTTATCTACCACATCCCCGAAAAGGTGATAGTTTTATGTTTATATCACACAATTTAGTAGTTATTAAATTAATAACCATAATATGGAGCTTTTATATGTATTTATTTTTTTTATAAAACCAATGTTTATTTTTAAATGAAAAAATTTATAGGTTTATCAACTTCTATGCTAGGCTACCAGAGTGGCCTGGGGCAACTTGCCCGGCCGGGCCAGAAATAATTATAACAATAAATAAATAAATATTAAATAACCTGAAATTTGGTAAAGAATTTCAATGCGATCCTGAGGCAAAAGTTGTTCAATTTATATTTCTGCATCGC